GTGTTTTTGCTCACCTTTTTTTTTCCCCACGCAGCGTGCTGGTCTCCCCTCGACTGGCCCTGCCTCTATAGCTGAGATCATCAAGCTTGATAATCTCAGCCAATCCAATGCTTTGCCATAGGATTGGCTGCAAAACGCCACTCCAATCAGCATCTCCTCATAGAGATGCATTGAATCAATGTATCTCTATGGGGAACGTTCAGCACCTACAGAGTGTGGAGGCCCTGAATGTAGGTGCACTAACACAGGAAGCACCTCTAGTGACTGTCTGAGTGACTGTCACTAGCAGTGTCACTTTGAAGCAATGTAAACACTGCCTTTTCTCTGAAAAGTCAGTGTTTACGTTGAAAAGCCTGTAGGGACATGCTATAGACACCAGTACCACCACATTAAGCTGTGTGTGCGTCTGCTAGTGAGTGAGCTTGCTTGCATGCGTGTGCCTGCTAGTGAGTGAGCTTGTGTTTTTATGTCAATGAGCTGATGTATATCAGTAAGATTGTTTGTCTATGAGGCTGTGTATCACTGAGCTTGTGTGTGTCATTGAGATGTCAGTGAAATTGCTTGTGTCTGCATGTGAGTATGCTTACTGTATAATTAAACGTTTTACCCTGAAAGGACCAATATTTTATATTAGAAAAAGCAATATATATATATATATATATATATATATATATATTACTCAATCATCTGTCCTGGCAAGACATAGCCTTACATATTACACGCGACAATATATGGCGCAGTGACTTATGGGGCTGGCACAAATTTTTTTCCCAGGGCTGCTTTGTATCCCCAGTCCGGCCCTGCTTACCCATATAAACCTATGATGCTCAAGTCTATAACGATAAGAATCTTTCAGTGGGAGAATGGATAATCTAAAATACACTAAGGAAAAAAACCTGTGTTTGTATTGTAATGGCACTGCAGGCTTGAATTAACTCCAGAGCACTATTAACCAGAGGATGATCTTTGGCTGCTGCCTAGAGCCCAGGAGTTAGAGAGGGGCTTTGGAACTAAGAATATGCTTCTCCCAATTCACTTTTTCTATATGAAGACTAAAGAGGGAGCCCAAACCCGTAACCTGCCAAGAGCCACATGGAATCAAAATGCTTCTCTGATTGATTCATTCCTTTTATAATGCTTTGCATAGATTACATAATATACACAAACAGCCAATCCAAAAACAAGCTACAGTGGTAATGGTGTTTAGAGTTTCAACGATACCAACCTCTGTGATGATCCCTCCGATTTCTTGTGTCCTGGCTGTGCATCCTTCCTCTGTTGATTTTGACAAAGGATTAAACTGTGATAATGACACCACATCATTCCTGCATCATTTCTGATGCTGATCTCTACCACTGCAATATATTTAAAGATGCTGGTACCCTGGGTCATGCTTGCATGCTGATTCCCATGGTGTCATGCAAGTGTTACTTTCCAGACACTACCTGCCGCAGGACAGTGATGAAAACCAATAGAGCATCTTGTCCCTTGGTGGAATGTCCTGTGATGGTTTTAGTGCCCAAAAGTATGCTGTTAGTCTGCATTCCTGGTTTTAACATTTGTGTTATCCTGACTACTCTGATATTCATTATTTCAACCATGGCTCTGTTTCCTTGCATTGTTGTTTCTCTGTACTCCTGAAGTCGGCTAGTAAGACTATGATATTCCTTTGCATTTCTTGCCTGTCTTTTACTATTGTGTTAAGGCCAGCTACGTTAAGGACCGGTAATGCACTCTATCTCTCTCCTTCTCTGTTTCAGGTTTGCATGTTAGGGTAAATGATCCTCACAAAAGTGCCCATTTACACCCCTTACTATAGTAGTTATGTTTCACTCTAAAAGAGGATTAATATGCAAAGTAACATATGTGGTTTTGCTGTAATCCATTGGGTCAATTTTGTTTCCTGCTCACAGCCTCTAAGGAATGCAATAGTGATTTTACCCCATGTTCGTTCTCAACTATTTTGAGTGTCACCACCAAAACAAGTTGATGTAGGTGTCTAACTATGCCTTGGGTGTAAGAATTTTGCAGGTCCTGTTTCATGCTTTGGAATACAAATCCAAGAGAGTACTGTTGAATGTGTGTAAATATAAAGAAAGTAAGTATCCCTTAGTTGGACAAGTAGTTTTGTCTATTCATTTTAAGGAGCATTAAGGGGGAACTAGAACTTGGATTTTTAATATTATGTTTATGTGCCCCCTATTTTTAACAAATAAGTATTTATCAGGAGTGAAACATAAAATTAAATGTAGATATCCACTCTTTTTAATGGCATACTCCAGTTACCATAACAACTTCATCTAAATAAAGTTGTTATGGTGCCAAAAGGCCCCTGGATGCACTCTTACCTTAAAGAAACACTCTATTGTCAGGAATAAGTGTACAGTTCTGACCCTACTTTGTAAAGAACTCTATTTAGGTGGCCCCCCATAAACATTTCCCATATGAAAGCATTGGATTGGCTGAGATTGTGAATTCTGATTGTCTCAGCCAAGGAGGCTGGGCTGAAAGTCAGTGCCTCCACTGTCTGAGTGATTGCCACTGGCTGTGTCCCTATGCAGTAATGCTAACACTGCCTTTTCTCTGAAAAGGCTGTGTGTACATGTAAATGCCTGCAAAGACTGACTATACTCACCAGAACTACATCAGGCTGTAGTTGTTCTGGTGACTATAGTGTCCCTCCAAGAGGATAAACCATTGTCGAACGGCTTAATCCAAAAAGTTGCCTTCAGTGCCGAGCTCAGGTTCCAAGGTGGCATCCAATTCTGAATCGAAGTTACAGGAAGCAGAGTGCCACTGAAAAGGGGCGCCGCTGTATGGCTAGAGCGGTTATGGTCTGTCCTTTGCACCTGGCAGTCAGCATTGAGAGAAGAGAAAAGAAACAATGTTTTCATTTCTTCTCTTCATTCACAATTGCCCTGGTTTTGCCTTGTCTGAACTGGATTGTGATGTAATTTGCTAAATATGTAATCTAAATTTACAAGAAAATGGCACATTACATAGAAAAAAAAAAACTTAGCACAAGTTAAAGGGACACTATAGTCATCATCAGCTTATTGTATTTGTTCTGGGAGTATAATCATTCCCATGAGGCTTTTTGCAGTAAATACTGTCTTTTCAGAGAGAAAATGCAATGCCTAGGGATACCTCTAATGGCCACTCCTCATATGGCTACTAGAGGTGCTTCCTTGGGCAGTGCAGCACTTGATATTCAGTGTCTCCACCCTCTGCATGGAGACACTGAACTTTCCTCATAGAGATGCATTGATATAATTCTTCTCTATGAGGAGATTCTGATGTGAGAAAGAATGGGGGTGGGGGAGGGGGTAGTTGGTGGTTTTACACTATAGGGTACCATTACAGGTGATTTTCAATGTTTTATTTAGAGGAGTAAACTCCAGAAAAGTGACATGTTCATTGTAAATGTTAAATTAGGCTTGTTAACTAAAATAAAACTAGTCAGTTGAGTATTTAAAGCGGCACTGTTATGCCAAACTTACCTTTTTTTAATCGATTCCTCTTCTCTACCTCTGTCAGGATCTGTTCTTTATTTCTTCCTGTCTGCTCTAGTTTTCTTTAAAACATAAGACATAGGGACTGCTTTGACTTATGGAGGTTTCCTACGCTTGACCAGCTGAGAAGCAAAGTGTGCTTCATTTCCGGTGAGCAAAGCAATTTTCCCACAATTCTCACCTTTGATCCATGATCTTGCATGCTTCCTGTCAGTATTCCCGAATGTCCTGTCACTTAGACAGAACGCCTGCGAAACTACTGAATTTCGTCCTAACAGAATGAGAAAGGTTTCTCCATTCGTGTTAGGACGCAATTCTGGACTTTGTCCAGATCTGAATTTCATTAGAATAAATTAAACTCCGATCCTATTCGTCCCGTGGCTGCATCTTGCAGTCGCTTAGTAGATAGCTTCCTAACCACGGTCTCAGGGAGCTATCTACCAAAAGGCTGAGAGACCTAAATAGGTCTTTCAACCAAATTTACTAATACTAAGTAAAGATTACTTAGTGTTAGTAAATTCTGCCCCTACTCCCTATGTCGCCAGTAGGGGCATGTCTAGTAAACAGTGAGCAGCCAGTGTCCCCCCTCCCAAGCCCCACACGTGCCACGCGAGTGGGGGCTATTAAACTGAATGGGGGGCTTATTGCCCCCCCCGAGCGGCAGGTGGGGGCCCTAAATAACAATAAGGGAGGGGACCTATTGTCCTCCCCCCAGCCCCCACCCCTGAGCTGCAGATGGGAGCCCTACCCGGCCCCCACCCATAAGGGCCCTAAATGAAAATGTTAAAACCCCCCCGGTTGACTAGGGGTCCCCAAGCCCCTATTCACCCCCCCACCCAAAAAAATAATAATAAACCCCTACCTACCCCCCTAACCCTAAAAATAGCGAGGGGGAACAAGAGAACTAATTACCTGTAAAATCTAAATAAAACTTACCATTTGATGTCTTCTTAATTCTAAAATCTTCTTTTTTCAGCCCCAAAAAGACCAAATAAAAGTCCATAATACCGTCGCACTTTGAAAATAAAATAAAAAGGAGGGCACGGCGCAGAATGAGCTCCGCAGGGCAGGAAATGGCTTAGAAAGCCTTCCCACGCCCTGCAATTAGGCTCAGAGCGCTCTGATTGGTTGGTTTAAGCCAACGAATCAGAGTGCTCTGACAGGTAAATGAAGAGACTGACATGTGAGTCTCTAAATTTACCTGTCATAGCACTCTGATTGGTTGGCTTGAAATCCAACCAATCATAGAGCTCTGTGTCATTTTACACAGCATGGTAATTGAATTTTCAATTACACAGCATGGGAACATTCCAAAGAACTTTGACACACTGTGTAAAATGACACAGAGCACTCTGGTTGGATTTGAAGCCAACCAATCAGAGTGCTGTAACAGGTAAATTAAGAGACTTACCTGTCAGTCTCTTTGTTTATCAGTCAGAGCACTCTGATTGGTTGGCTTAAACCAACCAGCAGGGCATGGGAAGGCTGTCAGGATTATAATTGATTCAGCATGCCGAACAGTATCACACCTAGGACTAAGGATAACGTTTAACCGGACCTTAGAATGGCCGGACTTAACGTACCGGAGAATAGTCAAAATACTTGCCGAGGTCAGGAACACAGAACGTGACACAACGATGAGGAAAGCCAGAAGTCAAGAATACCAGAAATCAGGGAAGTCAAAACTAAGCCAAAGTCAAATACCAGAAAAAACACGATCAGGAACACACTCTCGGATAACCAGCTAGTGGAAACCACGACAGGGCACTGACCAAAAGGTATTTTGTGTTTAAATAACCCTCTTGAGGCTGTAATTGGTTGTCTATGGCCTCTGACCCCAAAACGTGCGTGTGCTTATATGACGTGATGTTGCACGCATGTTGGCGCCATCTTTGATGTGGGCGAAGGTGAGTTTCCTATAAAAACCGGAACCGCACACCACCGGGTCTCCCACCCATGCTGATCGGCACAGCTGACCTGCAACCCCTTCCCGGAGAGTGGCAGACCGTTGGAGAATAAGGTACTGGGGACCAGGGGCTTGGCAAGGCAGACCAAGAGGAGGATGGGGGCACCAAGCATTCGGGGTGGGGGACAGGGGGGACCGGAATGCCTGGGGTATCTTTCACGGGATATGGCAGATTCCTATGGCCATCACAGACTGCCGAGGACCGTTGTCACTGGGTGAACCACCTGAGACCGGAGGCTTGGGGAGGGGGTAAGGGGGGTGGGGGGCCGGGGAGATCTGCATCCATCAACGGGCATGGCCTGGCTTGCAAATAGGAAGCCGCGGGTCGGGCCCATATGATTGACCAGGAACCGAGACAGCTCTGGATGGACACACCACCTACCCACAACCCGGGTATATATCATGGTGGCACAGGACTTTCCTAGGACACTGGTGTTCAGGAGGGTGTGACGAGGAAGGGGAGGGGGGAACCCCTAATATAAAAAAAAAGGAGAAGGGGGGAAGAGAAAAAAGGGGGGAAAGAGGAGAAAGAAATATGGGGAGTGGGGGGGAGAGAGAAGAAGACATACAGGCAAATGGGGGGGAAAGAGAGAAAAAGTAAGAAGATTTCACAACAAAAAGAAAGAGGGTAAGGAAATAGAAAAAAAAAGAAAGAAAAAAAAAACAGGGGGCTGGGGGCAGAGGCACGGAAGGGGGTGAACCACCACAAGGTCGTCACGGTGTTTGTGACCAGTGTGCTAGCCATAGTTACGGGGGCAGATGGTTGGAGAGGTAAATGCCTACTAGCAAACTGTGGGTACTGTATTCGGTCACCCCCCACCTGGCAGCATACAACCCGGACAGGTACCATGAGCCACAAAACACACTGGCCCCATGACAGGTTGGCTGGGGCTGCTCACAGATCACACAGGGGCACGCCGGTCGCCATGGAAACGACACCAGCACATAGGCCCACGTCGGGACTAGAACCAGGGATCGGGGGCCCACACCCCCTGGGAAGGGTCACAAAGCCGTGGGGGCGTAAAATGGCAACCTCGGGCACCTGTAGGTACACGATACATCACTGCTGGGAGCAAAGTCCCCCTAGGCAGACTCTAACACACTACCAGGCAACCTTTATACCATTGTGGCTAGATACGGTCTGTCAAGCAATATATCCAAGCCACTACGATGGCACTGACAAATGGTATAGGGCGGGAGGCCAGGATCCCATTATGGTGACACCCAACAAGCGAGGGCGTAGACATGCCATACACTGGGCAAAAAGGACCAGTCAGCCCCCACTTATGCGGCCCACCGGCCACCTAACCACGTAATCCAGTTGTAGGAGAGAACGTTCCTGGTGCATGCACAGGGCCTTACCAGACACATATGTTTCTGTTACTGTTCTATAAGGTTACAATTTCAAGGGAGACTTAGTTGCAATTATACCTTATGGGTTTTTTTCATTTTTTTTTTCTGGGAGCCCCCACTCGAGGTACACTACACGCTCCACGAGCACCTACAAGTTCACATGGCATACCCTGGCGGGGCAAGGTGAAGGAGGGCCTCACGCCACTCTTGCCCCTCTATCTCACCGGGACAACCCGATATCTTGCACGTTCTAGCAACAGGGTACGATATGGTGTGGTCACCCCACACAGTACAGGACCCAACTATCGCATCCTCCAAGGATACTTGGAGAATGGATCTAGGGACCACACCCCAACTTGGACTGGCGAATAGTAAGTCCAGTCGACCACCTTTTTGGTTTTTGTTCTTTTTTCCCTCCTATCCCCACTCCAATCCTTACCTTATACCCACTCCCTTCATCAAAGACACAGTCTTGGTGGACATTTGGCGTGCGCAACATCCTGGGCATAGAGACTTTACATACTACTCTGTCCCCCATGGGGCTTACTCTAGAATAGACTGTGTAAAGGATCCTTCTATTCGTGCAGCGATGATCCTTGCAGCTTCTCCCGAAATCCAGCTGAAACGAAGTGATTATAACTCCCAATCCCCCAAACATGAGTCGAGACTTCATGAGGGGTAAAACGATCTGATTTACTGTGGGCTACCCGCCCGGTATTTATGCAGGTCTCCCACCTGGTGGACACTCCCCTAGGGGACCAGATGGAAGACTGGGACAAAAGTATCACAGTAGCCAATCACAGTTGCTATAGCATAAGCACTCCCCTTTTACATATATCACTCCCTCTTTTCCATCCTGGAGATAATTAACTTATGTGAGTAAAAAGAGTCTTAATTATCTCCAGGTAGAAAGAAACATGGCTTTTCTTATTTTAGCAAAACAGCATAAAAATCTATAACTTTAATTTTACATAACATAAACTTTAAGTCCCACATACCCCCTGATAGCTTGGATCTGAGTGCATATTCTAGGCGAATAGCGCTCAGATCCCACGAACACAGTTCCCAGAAACGTCGACTGAAGTTTGGCTTTCGCCAGCCGTTCGTGTGTTTGTAGCCGACTACAAGTTCCATACTGTAGCTAACTGGGGTCGGTCACTTTCGCATACTTCCAGCGCACGAATGAAGTAGTATCTCGGTCATTCGTGTGTTTTTCCACCATACGAACGAGGATTTGAAGAGGTAGTGGCGGTGTTCGACAAAACAAGTAGCCGAAATTAGTTCCAGGGAATCCTCGCCATTTACCGCTGAGCGTTAGACAATCCAAAATGGCGATTCTGTAAACGAACGCGGACCACCAGCTATTCCCCAATTAGTCTGTGGTTAACCGCAACAGTCTGGGTGGTTAATAGGCGCCACACGACCTCAGTGGGAGGTCAGGTGGTTCGGTAGTTCATTCGTTTTTCTCGCTATTTGCACGAAATCACTCTGTAACAATCCAAATAACCGAACAGGCTGGTTCGCATGGTCTGTTTAATAAGGGATTTCGTTACAGACTACTTTCTATTGAACAGCGTGAGCACGGCAAGGGCAACGGACTCCAAGATAGGATCTATCACGTGGTCGGACCACGCGGACATCTCCCTAACCTTGGGGAACCTCTGTATTGCAGCCCCATGGAAGTGGAGACTAAGCTCCGGCTTACTTCAAGACAAAAACACCCAGGCGGAAATAAGAAAAGATATCAGGGAGTATTTTCTCACGAATGAAACGGATGAACTATCCCCGAGCACTATCTGGGCGGCCCACAAGGCCGTGATCAGAGGCACATGCATCAAGCTAGCCATTAAGAAAAAAGCGCAAAAGATGAAAACACTTAAACAATGCCTAGAAACACTGAGAAAAACCGAACAGCAACATAAGACCGCACCTACACCACGGCTACTGGAACAACTGCGAGAAACACGGAGAGCTATCTCCGAACTATTGTTGGACGACACCGTAAAGGCGATGGCGTGGACTAAACGGTTCTACTATGAGAAATCCAATAAAATGGATACCATGCTAGCTAGAACCCTCCGCCCCAGACAGGCGCGAACTACCATAAACTCGATCAAGCATACAGATGGCTCCATTAAAACTGACCCGACTGACATCGCAGAAATTTTCACAAACTACTACCAAAAACTATACAACCATACACCCAGAGACTCAATCGCACGGGACACAGCAGTGCAAAACATGCACGCCTTCTTGGAAGACCTGCGCCTACCACGACTCCCCCATGGATGCGGCAACCCGGCTGGACGAACCTATAATGATCGAAGAAGTAGACAAAGCAATAGCGGGCCTGAAGGGGCATAAAGCCCCAGGCCCAGATGGTTTCGACGGGTCGTATTACAAAACGTTCAGAGAAGACCTCTCGCCACGACTGGAACGTCTTTTTAACCACTTAATGGACGGTGGGTCGTCAGGGGAGGAGATGTCTAAGGCCATCATAATCCTTCTCCACAAACCAGGCAGGGACCCCCTCTCCCCTGATAGCTATTGACCTATATCATTGATCAACCAAGACATTAAGATCCTCGCGAAAATTCTGGCAGACAGACTCAACCCACAGATGAAGAAACTGGTGCACCCAGATCAGGTGGGGTTCATCGCCGATAGACAACTCTTCGAAAACACAGAGAACATCAACCTCATCTGGACGCAAAACGCCATTAATAAACCAACTATTCTCGTCTCCATAGATGCCGAAAAAGCTTTTGATAGGGTCGAGTAGCCCTATCTGTTCAGCCTCCTGGACTACCTTGGCTTCCCCACACGATATACAGCCTCCATCAAAGCAATGTACAACCAAGCCTCCGCCCAAGTAGCGATAGCTGGAACACGACCACAACCTTTTAAACTAGGGAATGGGACACGACAGGGTTGCCTTCTATCCCCCCTCCTGTTTGTGCTGACGCTCGAACCTCTCCTGCAAGCACTACACCATCATCCCCGCATAAAGGGGATAACGATTCGAGGTCAGGAGTTCCTTGTCTCCGCTTACGCGGATGATGTTTTATTGACACTTACAGAACCCGCAGAGTCCATGGCAGCGCTACAAGAAACCCTATTACAATTCGGGCCTTCTCTGGATAGAAGGCCAACTTACACAAATCTAGCGCCCTACCGGTGGGCATGTCCACGTGGGATGCGGCGGCGGCATTGGGAGCCACATATAACATACCCATAGCCAAAGACCACCTGAAATACCTAGGGATAAACTTACCAAACGACCCAACCAAACTATACCAATTGAATTACATCCCTCTCATACGCACCCTGATACGGGATATAGAAAAATGTCAGGATAGTCCCATATCGTGGGTGGGGCGCATACACGCAGTTAAAATGAATGTTCTTCCCCGAATCTTATT